AGTGGATGCAGAACCGGTAAGGTGCTTCTGCGCGAAGGTATAATGTAGCAGCGAATTGGGAATTTGCGGTTGAAAAATGTTCCTGTCAGCTGGCCAATTTGTTGAGATATACTTGCTGGCGGTGACTGCTAGCTTGTTGTTTGTGACACCCTGCCGACTGCTGGTATCTGCTAGGCGAAGAACTGAAGTGAAATAAGGTGTGTAGATTCCATTGAATGAGATGCGGGACTGTTGATGCCGTGATTGAGGCTTCCTGAAGTGGAGATGACCGCAAAAGTTGGATGTTCATTACACGAAGTCAGCGCTCTATTTTTTGCATGGTGCATCTGAGCGAATCTGATAGCAAACCGAATGAAGAAGGTTTCTGAAAGGACAGAAGTGCGTGTCACACAGAGGTCTGTTGTTTCTGTTTGCAAGCGTGAATTCGTTGAGGTATAGCTCTCTGAGTTCCAGCGTTGATATTGATTGAGTCCACAATTCCGCCGTAAGTAGAGTCGAAATCCTGACCTTAATTGTCGCGCATTTTATCGACAATAAGAGTAGTTGTACTTCTATTACCATGGTCTTGACAGGCTTTGATGGTTTCATCTGGTTGCGTTTCTTGAATGTGGATCGATTTTCTACAGTGTGGTGGATAATGGTGTTTTGTTAGACAATCGGTGCGTGCGAATTGTTATGCAGGAGGTGCCGAGATTTCGTGCAGCTTGACATGTGGTTATTTGTGGTGCGCCAAGTACACTGCTGCCATCGCTGTTAGCGTTGTGTTGGCTCCCTATCAGCATGAAGAAACGAAATTTGCAAAATGCTGCTGCTGCTGCTGCTGAAGACTTTTTGACCGCTAAGCGTCCTAGTTGCGAGTAGTACAGTGATTGGACTGTGATCATCATCGGGCATTAATTGCGTCGGTTTGATTGGCATAGTGCAGCCTTACGTCAACGAAACTGCTGAACCTTGTTTGGCGTTGAATAGCTACTGATGGTGATGTGACTGCTGCACAGAATTCTATAAATGTGATGGCTTCTTCGTGGCTGATTTTAATTGTTGGTGTTGTTAGTCTTTTTTATCGTGCTGAAATAGTGCAGGTGGAGTAGGAGTAAGTGGAGGAGGAGGATTTTAAATGGGCCTGGGTGCTGGTACATTCGTCAGAAATGCCGCCCCTTATGTTTGCTTGGTCGCCGGCTTGCATGCGGGCATGTTGTCGTCAACTGTCATGATAGCCCTCTTGTTGTTATTTGCAGCAGCAGTAGTATTGGCGTGTTTGCCTCAGCCACGGTTGGTGGGGTTGGTAGTTTTCAGGATGCGGAGTCTGTGTGTTGTCTGTCGAAGTACTGTTTGTGGATGTGCTTATAAGCTTCGTCGACGTGGTCGTCATCATCTTCGGCTCACGCGGCGCTGTGTTGACGTCATCGCGGAGTCCTGAGTCAGGAAGAAGCTGGGATGGTACGCGAAGACTTGGCACAACATGGAACGTCGTCGTTGTGGTGGCGGTAGTGGTGATGGTGGTGGTGTTTGTGGTGGTAGAAATGATTGAACTACGGAAGCGGTATTTGTGGCGTCAGCTGAGTTGGTGATGGAAGAATGGATGGAGTTTTAGTTAATGAAGGAGAGGAGACTCGTTGGCGAAGACTATTTGAAGATGATGGCGTCGGTGTACATGCAGGAGGCTGCGCCGATGGAGGAAGAGGAGGAGGAGGAGGAGAAGAGTGTTGGTTGCGATGTTGAAGGAAAGACGTGTTGCAGTCCTACTTCTTTTACCTGTTGTTGGAGAGCCAAGAAATTGCCAGCCCATTAGGACAGGTTCTATTGTCATAGCACCTGTAGGCGCCTCTAATGGGGTTCGCCTACTTTGACTTTTAATTCTCTTCCCATTTTGAGTATTGGCAGAGCTCCAGGTGATCTTATGTGTCTGCAGCCCTGTACGGCGCTCCTGTAGAATACCCGGTGCCTATTATTGTGGTTACTGGTGCAACAAAACAGGTTTTATTGACCTAACCGTCCGTCCACCGTCTTCGCCGGTCATTACTTCTCATACGCATTTGTCTTCTTGGATGCATATCTGCCTCACAGGCTATTCGAACGCAATGAGTCGGAGGAGTTCCTGAGGCCGCCGTTGTCAAATATGTCTGCGCCATCTTCTTCATTACATTTCAAATCAAACCTTTTGTTCTTTTTGTAAATACATAGAGATATACTAATCATTTTTTGTAACATATTGTGTTGTTGAATACCAACAATGCTTCTAATGGGCCGTTTACAATTATGTCTTTGAATGCTATGCTCGCTCTATTTTGGTAATAGAATATAATGTGCATATGTGACTCAGCCTTCCTTCCTATTAGTTTCTAGTATCTTAATGTCCATAGTATAATTTCCTTCCAGTCATTAATGCGACATGATGCTTAGATCTTTTAAAAAAGTTCGTATCTTCTTTTTTGATTCTGTTTTTTGCCAATACGTCCAAGTGGAAGTTAATAAAGTTTGAAGTAAAATTGCGGCTTATTTGGCTATCTCTGCAGTCCAATTAATATGTACTAAATTAGATTTAAAAATGCATGGAAGAGCACTAATCTTGCTGCTGTGGTACCTTTCAAAGAAGAAAATCCAAGCCTAGTAGCGGGAATTGGGCTGTCATTTCTAGATACCTAGTTCGAGGCGTCCAATTTTCGTGGTTTTTTTAAAGGAAATCATTATATAGTTCGTACATCGTTGAGATAGTCTGAGATTTTGTGTGCCTTACGACTTTAGTCATCTGTATTTTCAAATAGGGCTTACTTAACTTTTCCATATTTTATTCCAAACTGAATGTCGCTGTGCTCAAAAGCGGCAAAACGTAATCTAGTAAATACCAAAAAGACAGGTTGACGGCTTTTACAGTCCTTCTGCCGATTGAATAGGGCCTTGAGTTATCTGATTCTGAGTTAGTGGATTGTCCAGAATCCAGATAATCAGAGTGCAAAAATAAGTGATAGATGTGCGGTTACAATTAACAACAATGAGTACAAACATAATTAAAACAAACGTCTGTAACGCGTCTAACGTGAGGGCACCTAAATTAATTGATAACTGTTAGCGCATCCCTCTTAGATGGCCACACTATCGCGATTAGCTACCAGACATACGGTAGAAGAATAACTGAACGAACCTGATGCATCACAGACTACCGCATAAAATTAAGAGGAAGATTTATAGCTGGAAAAGAAAAAGAATTGTCGCGAGGAGGCTCGGCGCTGCCCTTAAACTCATGGGCGTGCTTTGAGAAACGCGAGTTTATGGGAGGCAAGAGGAGGACAAAGAAAAATCCAGACCGACGTGCATGGGTCGAATGGCGTGGATTACACGTCGTTATATTAAATAGCGTGCGTTTGATATTCTAGATTCCAAAGCAAAGTAAGCAATCACACCGTATGTAAATTTCAGTTAGGTATCAAATTAGCAAAACATGCTATTGGGAAAAAATATGAAGTTACGGATAAAAGATAACTTGATTACCAGGCATGTAATGCAAGTCAAATGTGACCTTTGGAAAGGGATACAGTGAATTTGGGTGGATCCAAGACATAATATATGTAGTTTATCACTTTCTTACCTTTTACACCCACCAGAAAGCGCGTCCTATTAAATAGGCAACCGAATTCATTTTGTGAAATAAAAACCCAAAAAACCTCCGTCCGCGTTTTAAGCCGAAGATTTTTATTTTACACTAACTTTTTTTACTAATTAAGATTTTTGACAACTTCGTTAATAATTCACCACTTTGTCAAATGCGAATGTGCTACGTTTTAATTAAATTGGTGATCATACGAATATCAGTAACTGTGAGTAGATACTGGCATTAGCATTAATCAAGACCAATATGTCAACTGAATTACATATGCGACTTTTATTTAGATGTGTTTGTATAACATTCTTGTAACATATCTGTCAAAATAAACGTTTGTTAGTTCAACAATTGAGTTTTGAGAACTGAGTACTTTGATGGTAATCGTAAGTTAGTCCATTAATTACTTTGATTATATAATTTTAAAACATTGAAAATCACCCTTTTAGGCAAAGTTTGTTGTTGCAAGCTAAGTAGTCATCATTTTCAAGCATAAAATAGTTTGTTTGTATCAAGCAAGCACTAGCGGCGTTTTCGTAGTAAATCGATTTTCCACTTTTGCGCATTGTGTCTCCGCTGGAAATCCCCCATTTTGGCTGCGGTAAATGCATCTGACTAAATATCGTAGTTAATGGACGTAATGCAATTTCTTTTTTTAAATGTTGGTGCAGTTTTTTGCTAATCAATGTCTGTTGTCTCTTATTAACTACAGTCCAATTATTTCCATTAGATCGATTTTGAGTTTCTAGGCATCTTGAACCTATTTTTGCATTCTCCACTGTTCCATTTCGTTCCAGTATTCTCTGTGTTGTGGATAGATTGAACCTCCTGAGTCAATTCTGCAATTACACATTGCTCCAAACCTTCTATTACTGTTTCAATGCAGTTCCCAAATGTGTCAGCACATACTTTGTTTCATTGTGAGTGGTGACGCTATTGAAATTTTACTATAATTAAACCCCTGTCCTTGCATCGTCATGTGGCTTTAAGTTAAGTGCTTGGGACTTGGTTGTACATCTGCTATCAATCAATGAGTAATTTTGTTAATAGTATATTGGTTGACGTCTTGATGATCATCTACAAGTCTGTGTTCTCTAAATTTAGTCAACATTTTGTGACACTAACTCTAACATGCTAAATTCACATTTTGCCTGAATTAGGCAGGCCAGCTGTATCCACACGAAGCCAAAGTTTTTGGCTGTTATAGTAAATTTTGCCAATCCATCAGTTTCGCTCTCTTATTTATTTTTTTTCCTACATTGAATTGTCATTTTCGTGCAGCTTCTATGCTGTGGGTTAACCAATAGTTTTTTTTGATATTCTGACTGAATCGTGCTGACTACCTCTTATCTCTTTAGCGTAATATCTGACGGCTAACTTTATCTTTGGATTATGGATTGTTCTGCGCCTCAATCAAAGGAAAATGCCTCGACCGTGCCGGTGTCTGCCACTACGTCGACGGCTGTACTTCCATCTGTCTCCAATGAAACGCACCCACCACCAACTCCGCTAATAAAAAACAAAAATTATGCCGGTCCTCCTATCCCATTAAAAGAAAAGCGACACTCATCTTCTATTTTCAATGTTAGTCAGGATCGTCATCTTGTGCAGTTGCCACCCATCAAAGGCGAGTTTTATTTGTTTCTTTTTGCATCATTTAGAATTCAGACACTGTTGGCGATCTCTGAGTTGCGTATTTATGCACCAGAGCTATATGCATGTTGTTCACAGAGATGAGTTTTTGTAAATATACGTCAGTACCATGCAGAGATGTTTTCAGCCGTTAAAATGCTAAAAATGCTAGAATTAATTTGAGCAAGCAGCAGACTTTGGGTTGCTTCCTTGTTGAAACTGTGTGAGAACTTGTGTATTTTCGTGCTAGTTTTTGCAATTGATTTAACTACTGCTGTTCGTGTTTTACTGCTTTAAAGTGGGCTTTTACGATACTTTTTAGTCAAAAGGTCCGTTTTTTAGTAGTACTAACAATAATAGTAAAATAGGAATGTGAGAGGATCAATTTTCCTAACCTTGACAATACAGCTAATCAAAGCACGTGGTGATTGTGGGAGTGTAGAGGCATTCCCATTGTTAATGTTACTCATGTTTTTCATTTGATCCATTCAGCGGGAATTCGTAGGTTGAGACCTTTAAGTTTACCTTTTGGCAACCTAACCGTGTGTTCAGTAATGCTCTCGAGTTACCTTCCCCAAAACAGGCATTTAAAATGTTAAATTTTTATTTATAAAAAAAAAACTAGAAACACAGGTCCAGACTTGTTTGGCTTTCGGAAAATTCATTTTTCATCGTTACCTGTTTGTCTCCAATATCCATAATCGCTTTCGCATTGTCAGTCACCGCGTCGTGCATTTATACTCTCCGAACCCTGACTGGCTAATCACGCACAACCTTTCTTGATAGAAAATCGCTTTAACCGCTTGCGTAGCCTGTCGATAACTTGAAATCAAACAAGATTCATAAATCCCCTTAATTCTAAGACTTTTCATCGACAGACAAGACTTCTATATTGGACATTCGTTTCAGTCTTCGTTTTGAAGGTTTCAAGTTCAGTAAAGCAATGGCCTGTCGGTTGTAAACACTTTGGGATTCACAACAATCACTTCTGGTGATTATAAATAGGAGGCTTTACTGCCCGTATGTTGGGCGCGACATCAGGCTGTGGCTAATTGCTGGATTCGTTAAGCCCCTACCCCGCTTTAAACCACTGTCGACTTCTTAATTAGCAAACGCTCAATATCCCCCTTCTGTATGAAGTAAAAACGTTACATCTAAGACTAAAATTCAGGCCTAGTGTTTTATATTTTTGAATTATTTGTTGACAAATTTAGCAATTTTTAGCTTATTGCTGACCTTCAAGTGGTTGATTAGTAGGCTTGTGAGAAGTCATTTGAATTCATGACTTGGTGTTTGACTGTTCAGCGCAAACCTTTCTTGTTTGACGATGGAGGAGCTATGTACCCCTCTATTTGGACCATTTCTGGTATTTAGTATTCCACACTCTCAGTCACCACCTCATTTGCCCTTACAGAGGCCGCGTCCCCCCAAGAGCGGGAGCAGCTCTTCCTACAGAAGCTTCAGCAGTGTTGCGTGGTCTTTGACTTCCAGCCTGATCCCCTCTCCGACCTGGCGGGCAAGGAGGTGAAGCGAAACATCCTCAACGAGATGATCGAGCACGTCCTGGAGGCCAGGGGCGCCATCACTGAGCCCATCTACCCCGCGGTTGTAAAGATGATCGAAGCCAACGTCTTTCGCACCCTCCCGCCTCCGAGCAATCCCTCCGGCGCCGAATTCGATCCTGAGGAGGATGAGCCGACGCTAGAAGCCTCGTGGCCACACCTTCAGGTTTGTTGTAAACTCCATAATGACCTCGAAACCCTCGCTAATTATACAGGCAGAGAAGCCCTAGAGGCCCTAATCGTGTCCCACAACTCCGGACATTTCTTTTCCGTCTTCAAGCCCTTTGAACAGCCTTCATAGGATCGATGAACCTCCTCCACTTATTTATTCTGCGAGGTGTCTGCGAGCGCCCAATTCGGACCCATGAGTCAGCCAGCTTGTGCACCCCGGTATGGTCACCAATTCGGAGGCTGATTATCAAGCCGAGACCGAAGGCTCTACAGTGTTAATTTGCAGTTTGTGCAAAAACTCGATTCGAGTGCTTATGTGCGTGCGTGCGTGCGTGTGTGTGTGAACGCCAGAAACGATGTCACCGTCGCCTGTCCGTCTATCCACCGTCTCGGAGCCTGCTCTGTGCGTGCGTGTGTGCGTACGTGCCTGTCGTGTCATGCCTCTGTCCATTCACGCGCAATCAGCTGTTTTTTGTGTGTACGCGGAGCTGGCCGCGCCCGTCTCGTGCATTCGTACCAGCCGACGCGAAAAAACCCCCCAGCTCCGTGTGGATTACATCGAGGAACTGCTGAATTTGTAAACCACACGCACCCACACACATGCACGAATCTCATCAGTGGTCGAGGTCTGGTCGTGTAGATTTCGTTTTGGGAGCTACAAAGTGAACCACCAATCGACTGGGTCTGTGGGTTTCCGGTCCCTACCCCGAACCCCCGTTTGGACGCCTTTTCTGACCCATTTAGCAAGACTCTACTGCCGAATTTTGGCGGCACGTAGCCATAGACTAAACACTCATTACACTAGATACACTCTTTCTTAGCTACCAATCTCAGAAATGCCCTGTTAAATGGCCGATTCCCTCTGTCTACTATATCGCTTTGGCAGTTTATGCGCAACTCCTAGATAATGTTGACAGGTAGTGTCCTTTGGAGTGGGTCACTTCTTTTAGTTTGGCGCCATCGGCTAACTTGAACCACATGACCAACCTCTTAACAAGGCATTGGGTTCACACCAAACCTCACCATGTGTTTTCGTATGTTTGTCAATTAAGCGTAAATATCACGAATGGTGGCAGGTTGGAGGGCGGATGTGGTGCTCCTAACGCGTGCGAAAAACACTCTGACCTTCAATTGCCGGAATTTTCCATCGTGGTTGTGTCTAGCCGTGCTGAGGCCTTCTGGCTACCCACTGCCACGTCAAATTAATCTCATCTCAAATCGACACGTGTTATTCATCGTCGTCATTATCATCACAACATTCCCGAAGACATTTTCGCCGAATGGACCAGCGCCACTAAGCTATGCAGTTGCATGTTCTCGCTCTCACAGTAGCCCTCTTTGTGGTACCTCCGGCTTCGTGTGGAACGTGGCAGCGTCAGGTCCTATACTAGTGGGATTTCACCTATGCATTTCCTTATTTAGCTTCCGTAATTGACTTCGTGGGGGGGGGGCGAAGCCGTTAGTCTTGTTATCTTTTGTGATTGCTAAATGACACAAGCACTGTAACTGCTCTTGGCCTTTGTCATTTCCGCAATCAATATCTCACATTTCATTGTTAGTCTTCTACGAAAACCGCAGAAGCAGTTTATTCCCTTTCTGAAGTCGATCCCCTTGACCATCGGTGGGTTTAGTCAGCTTGTGGCGGAATTTTTTTTATCAAGCATTGCCTCGGCATGGTAAGGCCTAAGGTTAACAAAGTACAAAGGTCAAATAACCACGGAGGTCAACTTATTAGTTGGCTAAATCCTTGAGCTTGCAAACCTTCACGGATTTTTGATAATCTGTTTTTATTCATGGATTGCTAGCACCTGGGTATCCTGGCTTACCATTGGTCCGAGTTTGCTGATCCACTGGACAAGTCATTCCCATACTCGACGGAGGCTCTTTTTTGGTTTGACGGCTCCCGCGAATGCTTGTACCGCTCTTCTCCAAGTGTGAACTGTTGAAACAAAGTTTCTGACTCAGCAAAGTCCATTTTTACGCCCATTTTGTCACGGATCGGAGGTAGATAGTGTGAATTTCGATGCACTGCTGCATAAAGCTGCCCACTATGTGTTACACTGTTTAACAGATCCCGTGATACCACATTGAGGCTATTCTTGGCGTTCCAGTTTTCACACAGCAAGCAAGGATTCATCATTCTAAGTGTGGCTTCATCCGAAGGACTTTTTGAGATTTCCGCAGTCAGTTACAGCTCCACTTTGCAGACCAGCCCTCCGATTGCCATTTTTTTCATTGGTCGCCCCTTTCATCTGTCAGGCTCCTTGTTGTGTTTTGCATTGCCTCCTGATCTCCATCTGTTGTTCATTTGCCTAGTTGTGTCTCCGTCGATATTAGCAAGGTTAATCCCAACTCTAACTCGCATTGCTTAACACTTATGTGATTCACTGTCTACTCTTGAAGTGTATGCATGTCTTTCTAAAATCGTTTCTGCGCAATTGCCGTCTGTATCGAGGTAGGTTAGGTAAAATGAACCTCGATACGAATACGTGTATTCACGCCAGTTTTGGTTTCCCCGCGTTAAAACCCATCGCTCAAGCCTGGGAAACTCTTGACCTCCAGTATTGTGCGCTATGCGCTTAGCTGGCGGTAATTATCAGCCGACACCGAGGCAGGCGCGAATCGGCCTCGCTGTGCTCATTGCCAAGCCCAAGTGCGAAGTTGAAAATCTCCTCCCTTCCGGACACGACCTCACCTCATGGGGATTCTACTACTTCCTCTACTAACGCCTCCCGTTTTGAAGCCCCAACATGGAAATTGCCGCCAATTGCGGTGCCAGTTTTCACTCTGGCCTTATCTGAAGTTGGTGGGATCAGGAGGGGTTCTACACCGGAACCAAGCCACCGGCAATTTCAAACAGGCACTGTTATAGACTTTGTTGCCATGCCCCACAACGCCCTATTTGCATTGGAGGACTCGTCCCTGTGTTTTGTCAGTAATGGCAACGCTCAGTTTGCCGTCTTGTGAGTAAAAGCCTTCGCTCACAGCCATCAGCTTCTCGATGCGTGTGCTGCCTTTAAACAGGTGTCTTATCACACCATCAATAAGGAGTCCGACTTGAGACAGTGCACTCGGCGTGCGTAAAGTGTGATGTAGTTGTGTCGTCAACACGCCGATTCGTCCTTTCGCTTCTCCTCCTCCTCCTCATACCCTTTCACCGGTTCTAAACCCCCACGTCTGCACCAGAACTCGGCGGATGTCGCACAAGCCCGCTCGCGCGGCCACGTCCCCACGCGTCACGTGCAGCTTTCTGCACGCCACATGACTTTTCCCCTCGTCGCGCTGCGGAAGCAGTTATGCAATCCGCACAGCAATTACAATTTCCGTAAGAGTGTCGATTCCCTCTTCTACATTCCGCCCCGAGGGTTTCTATGTAGGGCAATCCAGGACTCAAATCCTTGACTTTTGTCGTATAGATAATCGTGAACACTCGGTGTCGTTCTCCCTGCTTCAAATTTGCCTGGCTTGACTCTAAACTTCATCCTCTGACGAGCACCACGCCTGTTTTCTGCTCCCCTTTCTCGCCACCCGTTGTAACTCTCAACCACCAGTCACGTCTCCTTATCATCAGTGCCCTGGTGCAATACTACACGGGGGTATTGTCTGTCTAGCCCATGCAGACACCGCACCGCAGTCGTGTCTCAATTCCAGGTCCTGCGTTTCACCACTCGACGGGTTAGAACTCGTTACCCCCCTATCCCCCAAATTTTCATCACTGTGGTCGCACTCCATTTCTAACCTCATCAAATCTCTGCTATGTTGGATTACCTAGGTATTCATAAACCAGCGACTTTGCAAAACACTCGTGTTACATTGAGGCTCGACCTTCAGCTGTATGACGTTTCGAAGTTGTTTTCGCGATAACACGCAATCACCCAAATAAGGTCGCACGCACTTGCTAATGGAGATCTCCTGTTCAAATTGAGGCAAGTGACTTCACCGTACCCTCCTTGAGATGCTGTCATTATCAGTTTCTCGCTTCTTGCCCTTCCGCATGGGTCATCGTGGTGTTGACCTTGATTTGTTTCGCGTCAGTGCTAATTAACCAACGAGGGGCGCGTTTACTCTGCGGTCTTTTGTGACACGATCGTGAAGCAATTGAGAGGACTTGATCGGATGTGCGTGGTTTGCTGTAAACATGCACCGCCACGCCTGCTGCATTTATTAAAACTAGCATGCAGAATGGAGTCCATGGCGGATTTGAGGGAGCTAGAACCGTAGGTTTCTGAAATCACCGAAGAAAAAATGCGCACTCGTGGAACCCTCCAAAACGTGGTAGCTGTGCTGTCTCAGTCATTTTCACCTGATTCTGTCACTCCACCAACCGTGTCTACTAGTTTCCGTGCCCCTCAGCGTGACCTGTTGCCAGGGTGACAACATGGGGTCGCGGTGATGTGAACCAGGCGTCTACGCCTCATTCCATCCAGCGTAGTTCTCTTTAGTTTTCAACAAACCCCGTATGTCAAGTGTTAATCGCGGAAATACTGGACGCGTTTCAGTGTTCGTTGACAGCGAGGATGGCTTCGATAAGCTTTGTCGACAGTCTTGTGTTGTCTCTGCCCTCAGTGATGTCGCTGCCACTCTCCTCACAAGACCGCCTTTGTTTCCAACAGACATCTGCATTTTTTGACCACGTGTTTTGTCGTTTGGAGAGCTCCATTACCACCGCAACCTTGACCACTCAAGTCACGTGTTGCGGGTCGTAGCCGTGTGCCCTGTGCCCTGGCAGCCTCTCTTGTGCCAGTGCCTTTCGGGACCACCTCAGTGCGCTTTCACCGTTCCCTTTTCTCCCAGCTCCTCTATCACGTGCTGTTCAAACCAGTAAGGTGGTCGCGTCTGCGTGTTTTGACTTAATTTAGAACTGCCGTAGCCCGTTTATCCTACCCCTGAAATTGCCCTCCAAACCCCGCCCCATTCATCGTCTCGCTACTGGCAAGCCCGTTGCTTAAGTGGGCGGAGTTGTTGCGCATTAATTTTGCCAGAGGGCTCTGCCTTCTGCTCTGGACGTTGTTAAGCTCTTTGAAGTAAAATCACATGTTAGTTGATCCAGGGAATGAGCTTTAATCAATTCCATCTCTGACCCATCTGGTTGTTGTGTTGCTGACGGTGTTCTTGCGGAATCTGGTTATCAGAGTCAGCTCTCAAATAGACTGTTTTTTTTCTAATATTTGACCAGGTACTTTAGGTGCTGGTCTGTTTTCAACACACTCACAGGGGGCATTTTTGTTCAACAGACAATAGATAATAAATTCGATACCAAATCAACCAATCGGTTATTAATCGTCACCTCTGCCAGGCACATCTACGTAGGCCTTCTAACTCCTGGAAGTGTGTCCACTCCACGCTCCTTCTTGAATGCCCCGTTCGCTGGCTTCCCCGTCCTGCATCTGTCGCGAAGCTCATTTGGCCTCTAATCAACAAAATTCACCTGACCAATTTGGCATTTTGCACATTTTGAACTAGCTGATTGTCTATTGGTGCAAAATCGGGGCCAAATGAGAGAGGTGACTTCGCTTTCCAACCAAAACACTCCACTGAATTTCCAGAGCTTATCCGAGATGGTCGTGTTTCGTCGAGTAGTTCCTAAGGCAGTTTCATTAGATGTTGGCAGCAGAAAGGCAAATTGATTAATCGGTCCCTTGGAGACAGTTTTTAATGCACACCGACTCACCATGTTGAGAAGTTGATCATTTTATGATTGAAATCAGCTCTTGATGTGGTTTGTGGTGGTGGTCCATTGTGCTGGAACCATAACCATTTACACTTAAAGTTATTGGCTGTGATTAGGTTTGCAAGAAACGGCAATTCAATTGTGTTTGAGGGGTCAGCGGCAAAAATATTTGGTCATTTTTCCTTCTCATAATTCCAGCCAATGTGATTTGGTTATCAGATTGTGGAACTCGATCATTTTCGAGCATTGTGCTCCTTTAAAGAGACATTCGCTACCCCCTAGTTACCTGACTGATACTTTGAAAGTCCAATTAATCTGTATTTCTCCTACCATCCACACTTTCCACCAACCCTCCCCTCCATTTCTGTGTATTTTCAGCTCGTCTACGAATTCCTTCTGCGTTTTGTTGAGTCTCCTGAATTCCAGCCGAACGTCGCCAAACGGTACATCGATCAGCGGTTCGTTCTTCAGGTGAGTTTCGTCGTCGAATGCATTTTCTGCGCAAATCATGTTTCAGCTTTTATATTATGCTCTCCCCAAGTCGGTAGAGGGTCGTTATCACCATAGCAACGCATGTCGATTCGTGTTTACTTTTAGTAATCAGCGTTTGAAGTAGTTAACCGACATATTTGAGGCTAGGTCCTGTATTGACGCGTTGTGGAACCCTGGTGTCCCATGTCCTCTTCGTTAAAGTAGACGTCATTGCGAAGGTGCTTAGTACTATCCCTGTTTTTTTCAATCGCACTTGTCCTGAAACCCTGAACCCAGTGTTAGTGTGACATGCCACATTTATTGAACCTATCCAACCTGTGGGATGACTAATTTCGGTTGCTGACTGGTCATTTGATGTGTTTGCTTCTTGACGGTGTCTCTCTCGAGTGGTCTCCAAGTAATTTCAACCCAGCCTCAAATCTCGCCCCCTTACAAGTAGGACATTTCGTATTTTTTTGTTGACTTGCATTCCTGTGTGTCTATTAGTTGCTGGAACTCTTCGACAGCGAGGACCCTCGGGAAAGGGACCTCGTGAAGACCATCATGCACAGGATCTACGGCAAGTTCCTCTTTCTCCGCTCCTACATCCGAAGGCAGTTTAGCAACGTTTTTTACAAGTACGTCTGCCCCTTTCCCCCCCCCTTTTCTCTCGCCACTTCACTTAACTGGTTAGTTACTTGTGAATCAGGTCGGTTGGCGGTTTCGCATGTGCTTGCAAAGTAAAAAGAAGTGAAGGGTTGCGCTTGTTTTACCGCAGCTCTCTCAACTCCAAGTCCCCTGGGACGCAGCGAAATGCCGTGGCTGTTGTTTACCCAACCTGGCCTTCTTCATTCGCTGCCTATTCGTGGACTTTCGAAACAAAAAAGCCCAACCCAAGCGATTTCTTGCCTTTCTTTTCCTTGTAAAATTGATCGTGCTATTGTCAGATGGTGTGGCGTTGTCACAGTGAATGACTGATTAGCCAAAACGACCTTGAAATGACTCATATTGGGTGAGTGGCGCTGCGCGGAGTCGTCGTGCGATTTGCAAGGCTGGAATCCTGCTCCCCCTTCCCCCACCACCGCTCAAACGATCGTTTTCACGAACGAGCATTCACTACTGCTGCTGCTGCATTCCACGTCGCGTCGTGCCTCTGTTTACATTTGACCCCTTGATTCGTTTTACGATGGCATAAAATGAAGGCATGTTAGTAAATACTGACAGCGTAAACTGTCTATTTTCGTTTGTGTTTGCCCATCATCCCGCCGGTGGGATTCATTGCTTCTCCCACAAGGTGGCCGGGGTTTGCAATAATACACAGGTCTGCCAATCGCAGATCTCGACCAACACCAAGCCCTGTGACCCCTAGAATTCCGCTTGAGGTCTATGACTGCAAGAATAGTCACCTAAGATCCTCAAATTCTACTGAAATGAGCCAGGCTCTTCACAAGAATCCACCAGGGACGTGTGTCGAGTGCTTCAGCGCATACTCAGCTGACATGTAGACCTTCAGTTGGTCCACAAAGCATTTCTCTAACAGCCAACAACCCAGCCACCACTGTGCTAGTAAAATAAGGTCATAACCACGGATCGCTTGAGATCCGCACACCACTGCCACGTTTTCCATCACGGCTGACCAATCAGAGAGCCGCGTGACATGTGGCGCAGTAAGGACCAATGAGCGTGAAGAAAGTGGCCTTAGTTACTGAATCCAAAACCACGACCAATTTACTTGCTATCATAATTGTGTGAATTCGTACTTGACTAAATACCGTTGATCTGCTTCTGTGGCATTGCATAGACTAGGTTTCCGTCGCCTAAGCATTCTTACTTCGTTTTTTACAATCTTTCCCACCCCTCATGCAGTTACGTGTGTGAGCGTTTCAGGAAAACTAACAATCGAGCTTGTCAGCCAGGATGGACACCATCGGAAGTGTCATTCGACCACCGTGTTGATCGCCTTAGAAAGTGGAACCCCGGACGTGTAGATTGATCCCTCTCGCAGTCGCGTCAGATCGGCCAGCTGTCCTATCTCTCACAGCATTTAGCACCCCCCACTTCTGTCTCCACACTCGTACTAGTCGTGCTTAATTCCATTGGCTAACTTTGTCACTGTTGGACGTGCCTAGACTTGTCGAGCCAGGCAGTTCCGGAAACCGGACTGTCCTCGTCGGTAATTTAACCACGCACTACTAGACGACCTTTGTTCGTTTGGCGTGCGTGTGTCACACGTGCGTGTTCTGATTTTATTTGGTGCCTCCAACAGACACAGAGTAGGCGTCTCCTCTGTCTATTTCTTTTTTACACTCACCACTGACAAACATCGGCCACGGCAATTTGAATAGCACTCTTCTGAATTAACCAATTATATATCGCAGATCTTTGGTTCGTCTTAACTTTATAGGCTGCAAGAACAACGCTCTTCAAGGCGAATGATACCAGTTATGTGACCGGGTGCTTACCTTGAGGTGGCATCTTTAGGAGTTCAAAATACACAGGGTAGAGATTTCACTTGGTTCTCAAATTGGCATTGCCTCAAGTCGGTGAAAGTTAGCCATGCCAAGCCTTAACACTTAGGCAGCCCCCCTGTTGGTCTGGGACATCCAACCTCTTGGAGAATGACTGACTCTTTGGGGGGTTTGACCAGACCTTAATTCGACGATCCCGTTTTGCCTGTCATTATTAACGGTTTGAATTAGAGGTCCACGTGCGAGTCTCGTCACGAGTTGTTAGCGCAGCCACAATCACATTATACCGTTTCTCACAATCAAACCACTGAAGCCGCAACCTAGGTATCATTTTGCTGCCTGTATTAACACTAGTGTTCTTTCCTTGGCGCGAAGTTGTCTGCACTCACCTTCAAATGTCGTAACTTGACATTGTGCAGTCGCCAAACCCGGAGGACGTTCATAATCTCCTAGCTGTATTAATATGCATTCCAGAGCTGGTATGAGTCATGGCGTGGCAGTGGGTTAATGGATGCAATTACAAATGTTGCTTTCGTTGTTGCAGATTCATTTATGAAACAGAACGCCACAACGGGATCTCTGAAATGCTCGAAATCCTCGGCAGGTATTTCCGCGTTGCGATATAAAATTCCTTCTATGCACTGACCATTTCCGCTCAAATCATCTCACCGTCTGTGGTGAGGCTTGTTTCGCTGCCATGCATGTCGAGGTTCCACTGCACGGCTAAACGGAAGTCTGCTGGTTAAGCGCTCCCGCTACCCCTTTTCAATTTGGAAAGACAAACCCAGCGCCTGTGGCCCCTTTTCTGCGACCCCAGCCAAGTCAGTGTGGGTGGTTTTCGATTTCCCAAGGATTTTTCCGAGGGCGTTTGACTCACTCATTAAAACCACCTGGAAATGTGATTCTATTGTGGCTGCTTCTAAGCCTACTCATCGAAACGTCTTGGGTGGGACTTATTCATTTCGTACTCGAAGAATGAACACGCTTTGCCGTGTGTATGGTATCTTGATTCTAAATATTCTGTATTCATCGCTGAGAAACTGTTTGAGAAGTTTGTGCTTTGTGCCAAAGCATTGTGAAAGCCGCTGATTCTCTCCTGTTTGCAGCATCATCAACGGTTTTGCGGTGCCGCTGAAGGCGGAGCACAAGACCTACCTCATGCGCGTGCTCATCCCCCTGCACAAGGTCAAGTCCCTCAGTGTGTACCACGCCCAACTGGCCTACTGCGTGGTTCAGTACCTCGACAAGGACCCCAGTCTCACCGAGCAGGTGCGTTGTCCGCTAAACTGTATAGATTTGATTTTGTGCCAGCTCCTATCTCCTAGCCGTAGGCAAGGTCAGTCGGTCATTGAACAGCGAGCTTGTTGACTTTCCCTTGTCTAGATTGTGCTGGGCTTGCTCAAGTACTGGCCCAAGATGCACAGCCCCAAGGAGGTGATGTTCCTGAATGAGCTGGAGGAGATTCTCGACGTGATGGACGCCACTGAGTTCAAGAAAATCATCAAGCCTCTTTTCACTCAGCTGGCCAAGTGTGTCTCCTCGCCTCACTTCCAGGTAAGCTCTGCCTCTGCTCTTCGCCCATTCGGGCGCGCCATCGCAGCTCACCTTTTGATTGGTTGGATTTCTTTGTTTCCGCCCAGTTAACGAGTATGAGGAACCCTTAAGATAACACTTTTCTGACCGCACATTTTAGGGTATATTTTCCCTTAAAAATAACTTTCAGTCAAGATATCTTGGTGTTTCTCACATGTTGCTAGTACTACGATCTGCAAACTTCTTTTAAACAAAAATTAACTAATCGAATTCTCGGTTTAATAAATCGGGTTTTGTTTCAACTCCTCTTGGTGTTGAAACACAGACCTTGAGGCGGATTGAGATGAGGTGTCTCACTCGCTGGGTTGGGGTGGGGGTGGGTTGGTGTCTTGTAAAATCGATATCGCACTCACATGGTTTCCCTACCACATAGGTTGCCGAACGGGCGTTGTACCTGTGGAGCAACGAGTACATCCTCTCTCTCATGACGGACAACGTTGAGTCCATCCTCCCCATCATGTTCCCCGCACTGTACAGGACAAAGCAACACTGGAACAAGTACTAATTTTGTTATACTGCTGCAACCTGCAAACGCCTCATTGCGGCGTTGACACCGCACTTTAAAAACACCTTACTTAATAATAGCAAGTAGTACAACTAAATTTGACGTGTTTATGTCAGTGGAAGTCCGTGTTCTACTTTTGACATAATTCCAATTGACACACTCGGCACCGATCTGCGGTGCTGCCTCTCTGTTGTAGAACCATCCACGGATTGATTTACAACGCGTTGAAGTTGTTCATGGAAATGAATCAGGTGCTTTTTGACAGTTGCACCACCAAGTACAAGGAGGAGCGTCAACGGTAAGTGGTGGGGGGCGCACTTGAAACACCCTGAATGGCTCGCCTTTGGTGGATTAATGCGGCTGCTTTGTTGTTGGCAGGGAGCGCGAGGAGGCCAAACGCCGCGAACGCGCCTGGGCCACTCTCAACGCCACCGCCATGAAGAACCCGCTGTACCAGCAGGTCGTGTCGGGCGACGTCGCTGTCCTGGCCAACCCCGTGCCGCCCACCCAACTCCCCAAGACCAGTGCTTACCCGCATCAGCAGAAGAACGGCGACACCAACGGTGGCTCCGCGGCCTCAACCAGCGCCGACGTCGCCGCGTCATGTCGGAACGGGGAACTCGTGGCCACTGGCAGTCCCCCCATCGACAACGACGACGATGTGAACGCATCCCTCCGGTCGTTGCAGCAGGAGAGCGAGGAGGAGGTGTGTATCTTTTTCGCCCCCCCTCTCTGTCCGTTCCAAGGTCGCATTCGTCGTTTTTTGTGCACGCACAACCGTCTGCATGTCGGCGGTGGATTTTTTGATTTGGCGTCTAATCCCCCAACTAGGCCTATTTCGAAGGGTACCTCATTCAAGCATTGCCGCCACCGATTCACGCCTTCACTGACGTCGAAGTGTCCATGTCTTTGCTTTGAATCTCTTGAAATAGCGAAGGGAATTTGTTGAAGCCTCCGGGCTACAGATGCGTTGTGTTGGTTAGAGTACGCTAAGCAGCTGCCCGGAGAGGATAAGAAGACCAAGGTGGCGGAGACAGCTTGCTCAACCTAGTTGATTTCTTGCCGTGTGTGTGTGTGTGTGTGTGTGTGTGTGTGTGTGTGTGTGTCAATTCAAAGTCGTGTATGACCACTGCGGTTGTTGACCGGTACAGCTTGGGTGAACTGCTAGAAGTACAAATGACTGAGTAGCCAGAGTATCGGGAGAGGTACATGAACAGGAGAGCATGGAGTATGTAGCGACTGAGTTGACGGACATGAATCAATATCATTCACCGCAACGCACTTCGGTCGTTTTAGGTTCGAAAGCTGGGCGGTGAGGGACAGAGTACGACGGCGTTGCCCTTCCTGGTGCGCAAAAAGGAGACCACAACGGCGGCGGCGTCGCTTCGTCGGAAGTCGGACCTTCCGCAGGACCAGGGGACGATCCGAGCGCTGGAGCAGCACAAGCGCCCTGACCAGTTCCTCGCAACCCAGCCAGATCAGTAGTTGCTGTTCGCCTCTGCTCCTGGTTTTATTAATTCCTTCTGCCCCTTCCCTGGCCCTCCCCGCCCCGCAAGACAGACGGACACACACACAGTCACAGACAATTTACCCTCGTTGCATTTCCACCGTCGCCGCCAGCAACACTTCGCCACCGCCTTGTCTTCTAGTCAACATTGGGTTCCTTTCACTCCCCTCTCTCGCCTCACCCCCGTCACCTTCCTCCTCCTCGCTCCTTCCCTCCCTCTTCCCCACCCCAGCCCGAAGCCAAAAGAAAATTGGAGAAAAAAATAGGTGAAGCCTCACCCTCCTGTCTCTCTCCCGCCCTCCCTCCCTCGTGTACATGATGCGATTACTCGGTTGAGCTGCCTCGAAGTGTTTTTTCAAGGTTGCGTGTGTCTGCCAACGAAAACACTACTTATAAGAATATATCTATACATATATACAGATGCAAGCTAAGCAAGGTGTGGACGGGAACGGCACTTGCGACCTTGTCTATCCAACTCGATTGCCTCGGGGGACACTAGAGTCGGGTTTTTCGATGTTCAGGTTTCGGACCAGGGCGGTGGTCAGCTACCTCATCCTGCTGTAGTTTCGTCGATTTAGCCTATCCTGTAATGGTCACATGCTGAATTGCTTGTGTAAGAAATTGAACACTCAAAGTTGCTTGCGTTAGTTGTGCTAGTAGAGCGCTGTTGAGGGGTTAGGTTAATCACGAGAGCCAAATAAGAACTGGGTGAGGCTGTTTAAACTCCTCGACTTCCCGCACCGACATGAACCGTTGGGACCACATTTGGACTGTTCGCGTGTAATGTGAATGGCGTTGATCTACACTCGTTAATCCGATCACTCCAGCTTCCGACGTAGGGTCCCTCTTTTCGCAGCATGTTGCCAGCCGCGCGGATCCTCAACTCCCCCCTCTCTCACACTGATAATTATTATGGATTATCCTCACACCTGGGTCTCGATGTTAGCGTGTCGATGACTCACGCATCTGAGGTATAAATACAGACGCGCAAACGCCACCTGCGACAACGACGCTAAGGTGGTAGATCTCTGAAGTAAACAGTTGTGTCCACGACCTCTCCACTCTTCTCCCTCATCGCTGGTAGCATGATCGGACCAGATTCGACTCAGTGGCCCCGGTGTGGTTCAAGACCACAGGCTGTAGCCTTCATCGCTGCGTCACGTCAAGTTTCTATCCAATTAAAAATAACTTCAGATGTGCTGCTCGCTGACTTCTCGTCAATGGACTGCTTTTCATGCACCTTTCATCACTAGAAGAGCCCTACTGACCTGTTCACTCAGCCAATTGCCAACGAAGGTCCAATTCCTGCTGAGTACAATCGACTGCAGATCATGTATGTCCAGCGGACACTAGCTCCAACTAAGCAGTCAACATCCCACAACAAATAACGCCATGTGAGCGGTGCATGGGACAAGTGCTAGGTGATTACTTAAACTGCATGATTCCTCCCTCCAAAGGCAGACTGTCGTGCGATAAAGAACTGCGTCTCAGGGATGTTCTGGAAGCATCCTGTCAGATATTTCCTGCGAATCAAGGCTCTCAGGTATCAGTCTGTTCGTCTGGGTGTGCGACATGCATCCACGATCGAGTTGATTTCAGAGTATAGATTGTAGCCGATTAGCAGCGATCGCGCCTGAGTGAACCCTGGTTACCAACCGGACGGTGACAATGACTCATCGCCTCTCTTCTCACCATTCTCGGGTTGTTACAGGCTGTTAACTAGAGGGTTGTAAGGTAGGGCTTAGACCACAAGCCACTACAAATGACCTCTGCTTTTCTGATACCGAGTTACATAAACACTAATTGCCAGCAAACCTGGCTTAGGAAGCCATGAAAACTTTGCTACTGTAGCTTCAGCAGTAACAAAACTTGGCAAAAAGGCGGCTGGTAGGTCGTGGATGCACACTGTTTGGGAAAAGATACCGAAGGAGAGAAAGATGATAACTACCAAACGCGAGTAGTCTAAACTTAGTCGTGGCTTTGGAGAACTATTACGAGCCAATTGGTGTGTAGGATTTATAATTCCGAGGTGCAAAGCGCCTAACCATCAAGGTGCCAACTGCTCAAACAGCTTTTACTTAGATTTTGCTGCGCCAGTGATTCCACATCAAAATCAGATTGATCTCCTCAATCCTTAAATGCCTTGGTGAAGAAGTATATTGACCTAAAGAATTGCAGAATATCTATTGGGACCGTATGACTGCTAATTACATCAGAAGTCACCTCTCCCTAGCTACTTCAAAAACAAGCTGCTTCTTTGTTTCAGTGAGGAATGCTTTGCTTGAGTGCTCTTTTAAACACCCACATACGCTTTATACCATTTACTAAGTCACCAGATTACTTTGTTTATCACAAAGCAGATTAGTGGCTTATCAACACTTGATCTGGGTGGTCGGAAGCAAGAGGGCATTTATGAGTACGCGTGATGCTTTCCGCTTTAATTACTTGCAATACAACAGCATTCGTTGGCAAGATATATTTCGAAGATCATTAGCATGCCTCCGATGAATCTGTCTTTTATTATTGCCGTAACGTTGATTGAGAAATCAAGATAAATGTCCTATCTCTCACTTGACTTCACCGTCGACGATTTGTAAAACAAAGTCCGGAATCCTATTAAGGAACACGAAGCTACCTCAAAAACAACTGGGTTTGGGTTTGTTGGGGATCCACGATTCCCCAAGATTGGTTTCTGATGCTATTTACACTAATTCACCAACATCTGTTTTGTTACGCTTATTATCAAGTCAAGGTCAACCCTGACTCTAATTAGTTTCACTTTCGATACTTGACTTCTCTGCAGTTGGCAGATGAGAATAAAGCTCTCTACACGAGCTCTGGTCTTGTTCTTGTAATAGCCAGGGAATGTCCGTTCTAGCTTCAGCAAGGGATCTGGTACCGTTATTTAAGTGGTTTCCTCTTTGTTACGGGCAAACGTAACAGGGTTCAAAGGCGAAGGCTTCAAAGTAAACGTCCTTCTAGACCCACACATTTGCGATGGTGTCTTCGTAGTCATGCCTTCCAAAACAACTATTTTCGTTGGTCAGATGATTTCGGATTCAATAGTTAAACCGACAGCCAGAACGACAAGGCCTTTAGCTCAAGTTGGGCAAGGGTGCCTTCTGATTCGTTCACACGGTTTGCTTCCTGGCCAATTAACAACCGACTGGATTACCACGCACGCATCTCCCGTCTGTCTCAGTGTCCGAAACTAGGCCAAAATGCAGGCTTGGATAGATTCCCTACAAAGTAAATTCACTGCACGCCTAAGGCTAGAGATTGTCGTTCTGCCAAAATCGGCACAATTATTTTGGGGCATGTGGGAGTCGAACCAAGGCCTGCACCTACGAACTGAGCAGGCAACGACACGACCATGGTAGCCCGTAGGAGAGCGTGAGGTGAAGGAAACACCACAGTCTACTCCCAGTGCCCTAATGATTGATTAAAACTGTCGTGGACTATTTACGAGACTACGAATGTGTGAAGCTCGGTGAGCTGGGATTGTTGTTGCGGATCGCGAACTTTTCTAAAAGAGAAACTCATGGCTCAACTGCCATGACCTTCAAATGTCCTATGAAATTGCATGCAGCGTTGACACACAAGTCGGAATGTGCATTCTAACACTGCTCTCTACCACATGCTGCGTGCAAAAGTGCTTTCGCAGCCGTGGAAAGTAAAAGTGCACTTAGTTAAAGTACATTTCTGTGGAAGGACCATAAAAGTGACACGTGATTGCTTAATTGGCAGGCGCATTGCTTTCTGCTTGCGTTGCTTCCACAATGGCAACACTCATAGTTGACACTTGGTCTTATATATGGCCCTACACCGCTGTCAAACATTCGTGTGCACAAGAAATGAAAATAGGGAGGACAAGCCAAGTCACAATCATGAAATTACTTTGGCTTTGTTACAATGCCACGTACGATACTGGGAAAAGCAGAATTCATTCGAATATAACTTGGATTGATTTCTGAAAATTGGCACCACTTACATATTGTCAGTTTTAAGAAATGTGAACTGCATGATTCATATTAGGACAGGAATTTCTAAGTAAACACACAATGTCAGCATAACCTCGCTTAATTCCAGTGTTGATCACGAACGCGTGCAATCCAGCATGTTTACGTCTTTTATCGATACAACAGTACTAGCCCCTAAGGCTTCATCAAAAGTCCTGGTGCCGCGACATGTGGAATGCATTTGTACTCATGTTCAAGAAATTGACATGACCTCTAGAGTGAGACTGCGCTCACAAATCTGGCAGGTGAGTTGGCAGAGCGGCTGAATCCAACTAGTCCGAATCAGGGCGAAATGGACTGCGTTTGCAACTATGTTGATCATAAGTATTAAAGGTCGATGTGGCACAGCAGAGCGGAAAAACGGTTAAAATCGAGTATGCCTGACAGGAAACCTGACAAGGACACCCCATGGACTAGTCAGAAGTTGCTTAAGACCAGGAAAAATCGATGTGTCTCCTAGAGAACGCTTCTAATGTTTTTGCAAAATTCCCTCAATTCAACAGACGACATCAATATGCAGATTTGTGGAAGTGAAATAACCCAGGCTTGCGACTTCTGAGTGTGTTTTATTTAAATTTAGCAAAGTGCAACGCCTATCACTATCGTTGGTTCCATTGTGGCCACGCACACATGTGAATGTACATAGTCGCCAAGCCTTAGCGTGGGGACGATGCGAAGGTGCAGAGACTTGCTCACTGCTCCCAGGCCACAGTCCCACGAAATTCTCGCAGTGTGACAATTGCATGTGCTCTAAGTACGGTCTCATTTATGACGTCGGTTTTACCACCAGCTACCACAATATGCTCGAGACTAAACTGAATTAGAGGCAAAAAAAATCTATTGAAAAATCACACATACGTCACTTGTGCTCTACATGGCATTGAATTGAGGAAATAGGCTCCACCGAAACCCCGTCAGACTTCTAACGCGTGAATGAGATGGTTTATTTCAAGACCGTAAGTTGCAAGCGAAGCACATGAAGAAGCGCATGCAGACGTGTGCATGTGACACCTCAACGGGCGAATGCACAATACACAAGGTGGAATAAGGTGGGTACCTGCATCGGTTCAAGGCGGTCACACGGTGAGAGAGGGAAGGCGCGAAAAAAAAGACAGATCTATCAAACGCGAGTCAGCGAGATCTCGGGGTTCTCTGGCTTGCCGTGCTTCTCAAAGTACACGATTTTGTACTGGCTTGCCGCCTTTCCCCCAACCGACAGCTTCACAGTGAAGACATATCGAAATCCGTTGGTAACCTGTTTGGTGGCAGAGACGATTTCCACCAGCCGTAGCGCGTTTGCACTCTCCCGGCTCTTGTTCAAGTGTTTCAGCGCAGTCCCGACCTTCTCGTGCGCCTCCTCGGATTGACACGCCTCCGGTGTCAGGTTGGTTATCCCTCCAGTAGTTTCGGTCTCACGTTTCGTCGCCTTCTGTGCCATTGTTAGAATGGAGAATGCCACTGAGCGCGTTTACATAAATGAAGTCGGAAATCAAGGTCAGGACAGGAAGCGACCAATGAGCGAAGGCTGTTAGTTTGCAGATAAGTGCATGAAGATGATTGGTGGCGGTGGTAGTAAATAATGCGTACGTGCATGTGCACCGTTTTCCTTTGTATCTGCTGCTTAGTTGAGAAACGCCACTTTGCATTCGATAGCATCCAGTAGTGCCACCAGTAGCCTTGATGTCAGCGAATGTTGCAAATCTAGCAAGCAATCACCTCGAGTTGTGTATGGTGTTTGAAAGCAAAATGTCTTTGTGTCCACAAGCGAAATAATCCATGCGTTGTCAACAATATGTGGGATAATTGTACACGTTTAATCACGTAGTCGTTGAAATGGTTGGTTTTTTTTGGACTTTTGCATAGTTCTGTGCAAGCAACGTGGATTATAATCAAACCAGATTTATGTTCTCTTCAGACTGGCGTCAACGCGCCTTCAATCTCATTGAAATGCCTTTCAACTAGCGGCAGTTAATTCTACATTGACATCAAGCTGCACTTTTACCATCATAAAAAGGTTGGAATTTAAGAGAACACCACTAATGCCCGAAAAGTACCAATCGGAGTAAAGGTTGATGGACGCAGGTTCCACGTACGCAGTTGTGTGAAATCGTGGAAGTCCCTTGCCAGCTCTCACATCAGTCCACAAAAGCATGGCGGTTGAACAGCAGCCAATGCGATTGGATAACTCGAGCTTCTTCACGTGTCGTTTTATTGGTTTTTTTTCTATTTCTAGTTTCCAATTGGTTGAGCACGTCTCTCGTAGTCTGATAACCCCAAACGAACGAAATACCAAAAGTTAATTCAACGAGCCTATTTTGCCTACTTAAACTGCACTTCACATCTCCTGAACGAAACACGCTTTTTTAATCAAAAATTATAAAGGAGAGCAAAATGTTGGCCTCATTAACCGATGCTCAAATGCCTGTCGATTGAAATGTCATGGAAGGGTAACTGTGAGAAATACATCGAAAACCTCATGACTATCGGGATTGAGAATTACAGGAAATACAAAACTAGAGACGAATGGCACTAGAACAAGAAATCTGGCGAGAAAGGTGCCAGATGCATTCGCATTTTCGGGCCCACAGTGGAATTCCGGAAGGTACAATACACATCGTAAAGGGGAAATGAAGACGTGCCTAGTATGAAATCGCAAAACCCTCCTTTGAACTTCATAAAGAGTTCAAATTTGGTGGTCGTTCCAGCTACTCTACGCCGCAGGATATTCAGCTGTCACGTGAAAGGAGACACTAATCGTCAGCGTCCTGTAGAAGTGGTGTCGACAACGCTTCCTTATTATCCACGTCTCCCCTCGCCGTACTGCAGATCATATCGATTTCGCGTTCGAGATGCTTCTGGAGACGGCGTTCACCCATTGCTAAAATTGGTAACTAACACGATATCAAAATAACCACGTGATCGCATTGTGCTTGAGTTCTTTTGTTGGTTGCCACCGCTGAAGCTTTGGTTCCATGCTTCTGCACGAAAGATTCGTTTCGCAAACTAGAATGAGAGGACTGACAGATAGTCGCAGTTCACTACAGAATACTCCGGTGTCTTATCTGACGATTCGCGCAACTCCTTTCAATTCAATAGGGCTCAGTCAATGCGATCACCACCCAAAAAGCATTTGGATTGTGCCAAATTATGCACTAGCACTGCAATGTCGCCATTTGTGTGAAATCAACTTTGACTCGGGAGGACGTCCAAGTGTCGACCGATTACTTGCCTGCAGTTTCCCGAATTCCATCCGATCCTTGCAGTGCCATGCCATGTCAACAGCTTCGCCTAGGGTGATGATTCGGTCACTACCTGACCCCGATGGAAGGCATCAAAGAGTCAACTGCTTCACGATGGTCAACCAATGAACATTGCTGCTCCCTGGATATGCACGACATGATAGCAATCAATCAATCAATCAGCATTCTACTCCTTTCCGGCACAGCCAGTATCAACCCATGTGTGACTGGAAAACACTTCAAGCAATGCCTTGGAATAAGAGGTGGTTTGTTCAGGAGACATTCAACCACACAAAACCCTCCTTTACACTTCACAAACCATTCAACGTGGGTGGACGTTCCAGCTTCTTTGCCGTAAGATATTCAGCTTTTACGTGAAAAGAGGCACGAATCGTCATCGTCCTGTGAAGGCGGTGTAAACACAATTTTATAGCCATTCACGTCTCCCTTCTCTGTACTGCAGATCCTGTCGATTTCACGTTCGTGAGGAATTTGAAATTGGTAAAGAGCGAGATATCAAAATAACCACTTGATTGCACTGTGCTTAGGTTATCCGGAGTTTTGTCTCTATGCTTCTCCAAGAATCTATAATGGTTCTGTTATTTGGACTCTCAATTGCGATTCCAGAGTGTCCATTCAGTGGTAGAAAAAGAAAGGCCTCATTGCACTTCATTTAAGAAGTTCCAGAACAAGGCGCACGTGCAAGTGTGGAAAAAGACGCATAGTGAGTGTCGTTTGTCGAATAGACGAACACCGTGGGCTTGTTGGTGGTGTCGTGAACATCTTGAAATAGAAGTGCAGTTTGATCGTGGTATGGATCTAAACCCCCTAATTGACAGCTTAGTAGGAGGCCTGATTTGCATTGATCCACGCACACAGTGTTGGTTTCTGTCAAGTTGAACTCCTTCATGCAGAACGGCCCACCAGAGGTTGGCGGTGACAATGCTAAACACAGTCGATGCAGCGCTCGTTGGGAGCCATGGTTTGGAAGCATTATGTAGCATTTTCAACCTCACTTACTCACCAAATCGCCTTATTGATCGATGTCCTTACAAAGCCTATCAACCCCCAATCACACTTAGCAAATTTTATGCTTCACTGCGCCGCACAGCTGTGGTCGATTCTCACAAGAGAGAACAGGCATGTCTGGACTGCGCTTAGTGTTTGAGGTTGTAATCACGCAGCTGCAATCCCACCAACCACAAACCCTATCTTCTTTTATCAGATGACCGACATTTGAGTGCGTTCCACGCTCAGTGAATCCCAAACTGCCAATCATGCGATGGTTGACAACCAAGGGGAATGATTGACACAACGGCCAGATCAATATCCAATAATTTTGTTAACACAACTGCGGAAAACTGGTAGAGGTGAAATATCACGACACCCAAATAAGTCGAAATGAAAGGGGAAGTAATACGGGCATTCGATAGTGTTCCTGCCTGTCTACGTACACACAAGATTTCAGACGGAACGAAAGAGGGAAAAGAACAGAGACGGCAAAGACTCGAAATCCACGTCTGATCGGTGCATACGTAACGCCAATGCCAAAGTCAAACAAGAAACATTTTTTTACACACGAGACGCTGAACTTGAGTCAAACAATCGGACTTTAGAACCATTTAGCCATGCACAGTAAAACCAACTTCAGAGCAATCTACTGCCACTTGCGGCCAACGCTTGAATTCCACGATGATTGAATGCCTGTTTGACATTGGTTGCGTGCTCTCTCGAGTGTTTCACAGGTCGACGAAGGAGCTGGTGGCAGTGGCTTGTTACAAAATTGAAAACCACGAGTTCTTTCTAAAGGATAAAGAGGCAAGTGGGAGGCAGGATTTCCCGTTGGACTTTTCCATAGTTCGAGTCGATTGATGTTAAAACCACTTAGCTAAATTTATGCTTCCACCATGCAGCCTTCATCACCCACTCGCACTTGCACTTCAAGAAACTGCCAATCGTTGTGGCCAACTCGCAGTTAAGTCGACAATGCAAATGTCACCACGAGAGGTTAAGGACACACGCTGCCTAACTCAAATAAGTACGCACAAATTTGCAGCTACATGCATTGTTTGTGGGTTCCAGTCAAGCACTGCGCACTCACCCACAACCAAATTGTGAATTTAGCCTGCAAATTTAGGCTGCCGATGCTACTGAATGAGAGTTACCTCGAAAACATCGCTGAGATTGCATTACACGTTTCCAACCACACGAATATCCGTTTTGCAAATTAGCGACGCTCAGCTCAAGTTGACATTCTCCCTCATGAGCCCAAGTACATTCAAATACGAAGCTTAACAGTTCCCTCTGGCCATCATGATTACCTGAAAATCCGACTTGGCAGAACACAAAAAAGTGCGTCAGTTCAGGGTTTTTGTGTCACCAACCTGAAAATGCCGAGTTGTCGCTGTCAGCTGCCCTATCTAGCACAAACACCACAATGTACACCTCTGAATACATTTATTGACAATGTTGCCCTGTTAAACCTGCTAACCCTCGATGGACGTGCGACGAACACGAAGTCAAACAAGCCTTGCTATGTTCATTGAGCCAGTTGGCCATGTTAGACAACCACAAACACATGTGCAAATCAAGCGTGTTCGGATGCAACCAACTCATTGCATCATCTCCACTACTTCGGCTGATATCATATGAGTAGGCATAATTAGTCGATTGTTTTCTAAACAAAAACCGCAACACACGATATTCAAAGTAAACATCAAATTCAAAATCGCCTTCTAGACGATCTCGCAATTCTCTCAAAGCGGCACCATCAAATATCAGCCACGACGACGACGAATCCTGGTTCCACTTCGCTGGCGTGTCACATTCATTTCAGGTGGTTGGTGTACTGTAACTGTTAATTTACTCTAAGATCCAAACATACAATCCAGTTAGGTAAACGAGTGCATGTTGCAGGTGACGGCTGTGCATTCGAGCATGTGCACAAATTAGTCAATTGGTTTAGTCAATTGGTTTCGAAAGCAGGGAGGAGCGAGGCTGTTTAACCAAGGCAATTGCACCACACCACATTCCCTGCAAACAGCAATTTCGAAGTCGCCTTCTAGACGATCTCGCGACTCTCTCAAAACGGAACCACGAAATGCCAGCCACGACGACCACTGATTCCACGTCGCTGAAGTTTAACAGTCATTTGAGTTGGTTCGTGTGCTGTAACTGTTAATTTACCCTAGGTTCCAATCTTACAATCTAGGTTAGTGTAAGATTGCTTGTTAAAGACATCAGCAATGCATTCGAGCATGCGCACAAATTGCCAAAACTAGTACCAACGACCTCATAGAGCTTTCTTGATCCAAGATAGAACACAACGTGGCTTTAGTGACCCCCGTTAAAATGTTCATGTCATGTGGGATTTTGGTAGGTAGGGAATCCCAAAAAAACCAACATCTGTGTGAAGAAACAAGGTGAATTTATTAGGAAATCATGCAGATCGATTGGATGTGCAAGGCGTGCGGGGCACAATTGAGGGGCTTCATGCCACCGTGTAGACCGGCTTCGAGTCGCGACCTGCCGGCTGATGAACCGTCACTGTGGATACCGGCTTCTTCTTCTTCATTGCCTCCACGCACGAACTGTTCAGGACAGTCTTTACGTTGAAGTGATATTTCATGCCATTCACCACCTGAACCGTCCCATCCTCCACACTCACCAGGTCCACACACGGACTTGTGGCCTTGAGTGCATCTCTCACCATCTCCTGAATCTCCTTCGAGTCCAACTGCTCGCGTGTCATCGCCTTCGCACCACCGGCCATTCCTAATCTCGCTGGCTCCATTGCCACAACCGTGTAGACTGGCTTCGAGTCGCGGCCTGCCGGCAAATGCACCGTCACCGCCGATTCCGACTTCTTTCCCACTGCCTCCACGCACGCACTGTTCAGGACAGTCTTCACGTGGAAGTGATATTTCATGCCATTCACCACCTGAACCGTACCGGAAACTACACTCACCAAATCCACACACGGACTCGTGGCCTTGAGTGCATCTCTCACCATCTCCTGAATCTCCTTCGAGTCCAACTGCTCGCGTGTCATTGCCTTGGCACCACCGGCCATTCCCATTGTGGGTGGTTGCGATGCCACAACCAGACCAACGAACACGAGCAAACAAACACCGCTACGCAGCATGTCTTCAGGTGTAGTGTAGGAGAGTTTGACTAGACCTCACTCGTTGTCATCTGCTTAAATGCACTGCACTCACCAATCAGAAAGTAGCATTAACACAAATTTGATTTATCACGAGCCAGTAGATTACGCAGAGTGAGTCGCTGTGGCGACAACCCGCAGATGTGCTCACTTGACCTGATTGGCCCGCCATGCGCTTCCACAACTCCAGCTAACCCGCGCCGCTTCCTGGAGTCCATAGGCTGGTCGTATTATCAATCACTATGACATTCCAAAGTGCCTAGTTGACTAGGCTCTCCAGCCCTAATCTCACTTCCCAAACATAACGTGGTTGTTGCAACACGCTTGGAATGGGCATGCACCAAATTATTTGAAAATAGCTAATCGGCACCTCTGTGGCGGGTCCCAGTGCGGTTTTGGAAACCACACCGGGGCCGACACGACCCGACCGAAAGAAGGAGTCAAAAAATGCACCTAATTTATTGATACGTTAAAGAGGTGTTTGTGTAGAGGATAACAAGTGCTAGAAGTGCATTCACGAAAAAGAGATCTGATCATGTTCCCGCACGACTGCTAAATGTGCTCGTCTGTTGCTTGCCACACCTCCTTTGTACAACACAAAATATAACGACAAACGCATTGCTTACCGCAACGAGCAGTGTGCACACAGATGTGGTGAGCGTGTAGAGGAGTGCTACCTCAGAGATGCTGATCGTGTGAGCAATGAAGGTTAGATATAACAACCGCGAATCTCAGATTCATGCGGCAAGCTGCCTTGGGGAATGTTAGCTTCGCCATCACACATGCCGAGCAGTTGATGGAAGGGCTGAAGTGGAATGACAGTCTTCCCATTTTGATGTACCCACCTGCCACCAAACATGGTGTTTGTTTGATGAGATGATTCCCACGAAATGCCGTATTCCATCACAAATTTGCTACAGTAAATGCAATGCGAAATTAAGTGCTTACCACTCCGTAAATTGTGCCCAAGTGGCAGCGCCCCTATCGTGAACAGATAAAACCCAACCAATTAAAGTGGTTACACATCTGACCTGCTAACAGGTCTCTAATATTCCTTTCGAGTGCACTTTAACAGTCAGTTACCTGGCTTGTTTCGAACGAAATGGTCACAGCAGGCTACACCGTGGCCACATTGTATGGTGCAGGTCGTTGAAAGTGCACTTAACTGAAGCACCAATTGGTTCTGTTAGGAGATGCAACCACCACAACCGTTTTATACACCTACCAACATTTTCCAACTTCTTCCAACTTCCAACACCACCCACCCTCTGTCGTGGCGCAGTGAAATAATTTAAACTAGAATGAATTTTTGATTGCTTCAAATTAGATTCATCGACTTGCTTTACAGCTAATCCAATTGTCACTGACAAATGACACCAATGTTGATCTGAACCATCTTCATGAACTCTCTCTCGCGATTTAACGGTTGCCGAGCACCTTGGTTCCCGCATGTAGTCATTGGTTAAAACCGAACCCCGGTGGATTTGAACTCCTACCTTCCAATATGCAAAACGCGAAACAATTAATATTTTAATAAGTGTGAGAGGGGAAGAAATTTGATGAAGTTGGCAAGCTACGGTGAAATAATGGACTCTCCTGATCACAAACACGTCTAATTTCCCGCTTTATGGACAACCTTTGTCCAAACACTGTCCTAGTTTCAACACATTTCATCGACATCAGCACACCTCAAGTTCCACATGCCGTCGTCGTTTGCATTTTATCGCAATTGCTGTAAATCTATACCACAACCATTCACAAATTATTAAAAAATATTTCAAGTTGCAGATAACTGTGAAAATGTGTGCGATAACTTCTGGTGGTGATGGTGATGGCCCCCGTTGAGATACGGGACCCTGAGAAAAAAAAGATTGCTCACCTGAATAAAAACATCGCAAATACTACCAGCAATTGAATAACACGGAATAAATTTAAATTATTCCTAAGTGCACCGAGTGTGATCGCAAATTTACTGTTAATCGACGCTATTGCTGTTGTGCACAAATATGCCCAGCATATGGTACTCGTTGAATGACTTGCTAATGCAACATTTCCGTAAAACGGCGGTACACTTTGAACCAAGCTACACCTTGTGATCTTGAACTGCCCAGCACAATCGACATAGCTGATACCATGTTAGGCATATGCATGCTTGGCATTTCGTTGTTTTACTAGTCGCTTCAAATTCCAGGCAGCCCAGTCCAATCCGTGTGCATTCACCTAACTCTCTATTCGCATGTTTGTAAGATCAATACAGATGTGAATGTGCCTAAATTGAAAGCATTTTGTGAGACAAACAATCTAGGCAACTAGCTGTAGACCATGGCAGTGGGAGGCCCAATGCACCTCTTCCACGATTTCTCAATTCTCTCATGAACTCTCGCTACATTTGTTCATCCCCGGATGCGCATGTTGTATTTCATGCTGGGCGTTTTTCGGGTTTAGGAGGTTTAGGTTGCACATAGAGTGGATCGGTGATCGGTGATCCAGATGCCGAAGTCTCATCTTTGCTGTTCGTTGCTGCGACTTTACACCAATTTCAGTCCATTTGAACACTGCACTCCGTGACCCAACCGTCGCAGAGTCATCAGTCTAGGCTGAATTCACAGCGCCATTGCTAGACACGATGCGATGAGTTCAAGTCAGTGGCAAATGTGGGTTTATTGGGCTGTCGAACGGCGAAAGAGGCACTATTATGAAATAAGCAGTCCTCAACGCCACGCCTGGAGTCGAGAAATAGAAGCACATTTGACCAATCCATAGGTCACACAGAAATCGAAACTAGATTAAGAAGTGCCGAGTTCACGGAGAGTGAGATTGAGGTTGCTGACGAATCACTTCGCGTGCATTGCATCATTCCAGCCTCACCACCATCACCACAAATTATTCACTCTTGCTTGAGGCTCCACAGTGAAAACGTCTGGTATGACACTGATCGAAGGTCGAACCAAGCTGGTGGAGGCATCCCACCTACGCTTGGCTCCTTTAATGAAACAGATTCCACGACTGTTCAAAACGTACTCATCACGCCTGCAAATCCACCACGTGTGACTGTTTGTTTTCTCACTTAAATTCACATACACACTCGCCAAGGCAGGTGATACAACTAGCACTGCATGTGTGAGAGTCCCACAACCACTCGCATCGTCCATTCGATTATCTCCGTCGCCAAGTTGTTCATGGGTTGGTTAAAATGGGGCAGATTACAGGAAGACGATGACCCTACCATCAAGCCGAGGACGTTCAATGTGCCTTACTGGGTCTCGTGTGAGATGTTTCAACTGGGAGGCATGGATCATCCACCCACCGATGATATCTACCTGCAGCCACTTGGAAGAGTGAACACACACGGTGGCACATCAACACCACCGCACAACCATGCCAAGTGACGTTGTGGTGATTGACAATTAGTCTGCATTAATGCACTCGCATGTAAGCCTTCCGTTCAAGATGGCATGCACATCTAACTTGTGCCTGTGTCGTTGTGCATCCACGAAATAACGCGTGGTGAAAACCGGTTCCAGGGTAATCAAACACTTCCTCAACATGTTCCGACTTTAATCGACTACACCTTATTGGTCGTCATTTCACTCAGCATACTTCACGTGTTCAGGTGATATGTCTACTTGAAGTAACTGACAGTGTTTGAAGTTCCTTTATCTTATTCAACAACCTTTCGGATTCCTCGCTTCGCACCTGTGTAGGGCTAGACTAACGGTAAAAATCGTCTTTCTCTCTGTGTGGTGTTGTCTATTGGTAACCCCATCCTCCCAACTTTCCTGACCAATGTGGCTTTCCCGTGAGACGACCAAAGGCTGACAGGAGAGTCTACAATATCTCACGTAGACACATCCACACACAGTCCTTGAGGAGAGCGTGGGAGAATGAGCAAAGGGACTGCACATTCACTCACACTCAAAGGACAAACCTCCTATAGCGCTTTTGACAAAACTGCTTCTTGCAGGCCCGTGTGATGTCACTCCACGCCTACCTACACATCTTACTGATGCTGAAATTTTGTCTGTGGAATGTCGGTTCACTCCATGCTGGACACAATGTCCAGGATCCTCCAATGCAACTTCTCAACATTGGTGTTTAGCATCGTGGAAATTAGTCGTCACCATGGCAATGAATTGCTCGAATCCTCAGTTATGCTGGAAATCGAAGGTGCTGCTAGTCAGGAACCTCTCCAAGAAATGCTGACCAATTTGTTGAAGCGAATATCTTATCAAGCATGAAGTTGACTCCTTGATATTCTGGGTTCCAGAGCTCTAATTCTGTCGCTGTTGCAGGTTTTTAGGCTTACTGACATTAAGGTGGTGTAAATTCGAGAATTTCCGGAAACGAAATGCATCAATCAACCTTGTTGAGGGCTCCGGCACGTTGGCTTAAACTACACGGGGGGTTGCTGCGTTGTGTCCAGCCCGATTGCGTTACCCTGAGTACCCGCAAAGATGAAGAAGAATGGAGAGGACGAGGCACAACCGGTTACTAGACGGCTCAACCAAGTTGTGTTTTGATGACTGACTCACATGGCTAAAGCTGAAGGTGGAGGACATGCAGGCGAGCCCTCGTGACTAACGGGAACGCCGTGACAAGGCGGATGTGTCCATGAGGCTGCGACAACCGGGTTATTCTACGTGAATCAACACGATTCACTGCAGCCTCGTTGTTTCTTGTCCATGAGTAATTTTCAACATCTGACTCTTCTGCCTCCGACCAATCTACTCTAAGGTTGCTCTTAAAACCAACCATTTATGTATGTCAACGATCAGATGCCCCTCTGTCTCTCTTAACTGATTCGTCCGTTTCGGCAGCTGATGCAGTCTTACAGCAAACCATCAACGGAGCAGCTCATCAGCTAAATTATCTACCAGTCAGATTCAGCGAAGCTCAAAAGCGTTACCGTGAACTCTAGGCCATCTATCTCGTCGTTACACACTTCAAGATTCACTACATTGTCAACGCAGTTGGCTCTATACATTTAAACAACCAAATTAACCTTAACAACAGTACAATGAATTTGGCGGTATGTATTCAATGAACGGGGCATGGAACTTGAGACAGTAGAATGGAATTTCACACGGAGCGTAGCATAGAATACGCCACGTTTTGGCAAGCACACTTGTGGTCTTCGTTGGACACAAAACTATTGATTTCTATCAAAAAAATTGTGCTTTAAGCGATGACGGCCGTAGACAACAATGGGCTTAGTAGCTAATTCAAATATTTTAATAGAAACCTTGTGTAAACTTTAAATTGGAATTTATAACCCCGAAAAGCACTACGTTTGAAGTATTGTATATTCAGTGGCTTGTGGTCTAGCACTACCTTTTAACCCTCTAGTTAACAGACCGTAAAGACCCAAGAACGGAGTGAAGAGAGGCGACAGTGGACACGACCGTTTATTAGCGTCACGCCAGCCAAGTGTCTTAGTGTGTGGATGAGTGAACGGATGACGGGCATCTGATAACAGTAACCAATGGAAAGGAGATGAGTCTTTGACACCGTCAGGTCAATAAACAGGGTTCACTCAGGCGCGATCGCTACACATGCATGATCGGGATATTGGGCGTACAAACTTACGACCTCATCCATCACAAAGTTCAGGCACGCAGATGTTGAAACTGGCCTCAAATTTTTCATTGGATTGTCGAATCAGCATCATGATTGTCTGGTCATTCGTTCTCCAAAAGAGCGAGTGCAAATGAGATGGGTAAAAAGACAACAGTTTCTGCAATTGTTGAGACGCTATTAATTGGCTGATTAAAAATTACCTGCATTATTGCTTCCTTCTGATTGGCCAGATCAGTGCTTTTAAATGGCTGGCAGAAAGTAAGCGACGTTCAAACCCTACTCCAATACACCTGAAAGCATGCTGCGTAGCGGTGTCTGTTTGCTCGTGTTCGTTGGTCTGGTTGTGGCCTCGCAACCACCCAAAATGGGAATGGGCGGTGGTGCCAAGGCAATGACTCGAGAGCAGCTGGACTCGAAGGAGATTCAGGAAATGGTAAGAAATGCACTCAGTGCCACGAGTCCTTGTGTGGACCTGGTGAGTGTGGTGGATGGGACGGTTCAGGTGGTGAATGGCATGAAATACCACTTCCACGTGAAGACTGCACTGAATAGGTCGTGCGTGGAGGCAATGAAGAAGAAGAAGCCGGTATCTACAGTGACGGTTCATCAGCCGGCAGGTCGCGACTCGAAGCCGGTCTACACAGTGGCATGAAGCCATTCCATTCCATTCCAATCGATCTGCACGATTTTCTAATAAATGTCCTTCATTTACATACGATTAATGCTTTCTTTACTGAAACTGTGGTAATCTTAGTTAATCGATTGATAGAAACTCCAATTATATTATCGAGATACGCCATGATGCATTTGTTGTTGGTTGGTCACTTTAAATGGGGCCAATCGATAAATGGAACGGAGGCTGAATGAATGAGGTTTCAATTTAGGGAATGCTGCCTGTACCCCACTAAATTTGACACTAATTTGCTATATCTAAATGAGGGCGAGGGCAGGTAACTTCTTCTACAAATTTTTAAGCAATACCTTATGTGAAGTAGTGAATTCAAAAAGCGTAGAAGTTTTTGCGACTTTCCACTGAAGCAGTGCTCAGTGACAACCTTCATGTGACTTTCAAAACATGTTGGAAATGTTGAGATGCAGACAGACCTCTCACATATGCCCACGGAAAGAACTCACACGGTTTCATTTCAGGTGGACGTTGGGTACCATCTCACTAGCCTAATGGCTTCTCCGACAATGCGTCCGATTCTAGTTCCTGGCAGTTTATGGTTGAGTTACTGCTGGCACTGTTAGCCCTCAGTTCGGAGAAGCCGTTGCATTTAAAAACGTTTCATTTGCCCCACTCGTATTAGGTGGTCTGTTATAGCGCATCTTTGAGAGTGATAGCTATTATGTTTCAGACGAAGTGAACCAGGTCGCATACACGCAGAATTGCTTTAAGCGGCATGCAACGCACTTGCATGCAATGTTGAATTGTAGCCTGTGGATTTTTCTCCTCCCCAACGCAATCCTTGTACACTTTGTAATTCAAATGACAGTTGACAGTTCTAATAATGCTTGAAACAGACGGCTTTCCCTTTACGAGCCTGTTTATGAAATTATGGAATACTGGCATGTTAATTTATCATGAGGCAAATAAAACCGTTTGATGGCTTGGAGCCCTTGTCACCATCAGCTGATCAATTGATTTGACTCCTTACTGTTTTCGTTCCGAGTTTAATAGATGCCCCAGTGCCTCTAAGGTACGCGTCTACCGACGACTACAAATGTACCTCCTTGTTTGTATCGTTCGATGTGGAATACCCCAAAAGTTTCACTTCAATAAGTGTCCCCTCGGCTGAACTCAATTCTATTGGGGATCCAGGATTCTCTAAGACGGCTCAACACCGAAATCGTCGTTGTTCACACTAAACCCCGTAACCACACCGCGTCAGTGGGTGAGGCATCCAGCAGCATCCTACCGGCAACCACATCTGTGTTAATCCGCTTGCATCCATCAGCCCAAGATCACCCTTGGCTTATGTAAATGCTGACATTCTGACAGGTCACTCGCCCTTGTGGCTGAGACAACTGAAGCCCTTAACACGAGCTCTGCTGTTGTCTTGCGTTAGCGTGAGAATGGCGGTTCCAGCGTCAGACAAGGGATCTGGATTAGTCTTGGTTATAGTCAAAGGTGTCAAATTCCCACATCCATTTCCTTCTGCTCTGTCGATAAACACGAGAAATCAGCAGACAAGTCAGCATGTAGTGGACTGACAGCCGCCCCGCGCGAGTGTGCGTGCATGAAGGCCCGTGTGCAGCGATGACTCATCCCCTTTTGTTA